TCTGCGGCCCCCACAAGACGCAAAGGACACAGCATGCAGAGTGCCTGCCAGCCCGGCTCCCATGGCGGCGGCAACCCCATGAACCGGAATGCCACAGTCGTCTCTTCCCAGCTGCCTGCCTGCCGTCTGCTTGTGGGAAATATTTGCGTTGTCCTCGACTCCCACCTGTCCTGCTTTCGCAGGTGCCCTGTACAGACTTATTTTGTGGTCTAAGAAACTGTTCTGCCACTTTAAAAAGATGGAGAAACACCGCTTTAGGCGTCAGCAGGCAGAGCTGGTCAGTTGTCGCCTTTCTAGCCACAAAGCTGCCTTAAAGCCACCGTGGACGAGAGGGAAGGGCTCCACTTTCTTCGCCAACTGTCTCTCTGCCAGGCAACGTCAGCTCACGCCTGGGGGCGCCCCCACCTGGAGACGCCCCCATGCTAACTCGACTGACAAGAGCCCCTCAGAGCAGAGCGCTCACACAAAGGAAGAACTTCAAGCTCAGACCGTCTCTATATTTTGAAGAGATCTTAAAAAAGGATCAGATCCAATCTGTCACCTCAAACCCTACCTAAGTCTGTTTTGGAGAAGAGTTGGTGGGCAAACATATGACACAGTTTTAATTATGAATCAATCTGTCAGCTATAAGATTAAAAATAAATAATATGCAAATAGCCGCCTTCAAAAGAGCCAGGCATTAAAATAGGACGCCAGTCATGTGTCTCTCTAACCTGATGCTCATTATCTCACTGGTCTCCGTGTGGCCAACATGCCACTGCGTGTTGACCCGGGTATGCCCTCGGTGCTGGCCGCCCGTTTGGTATGAGAGGCTGAACCCACTCTCCAGGACAGTGGGGTTTGCACGACAGCCTGGAGAATGCAGCAGATAACCCGCCAGAGAAATGGTGTGGGTTTTTTTTTTTTGTTTTTTTTTTACACTGAAAGGAGATTCATTTTATATCCCTATTCTTTCTTAAGACCACACCAGGATCTCTTTCCCTGAAAAACAGCCTCTCAGAAATTGCTGCTTGCCCACTGTGTTACGACGTCATTGCCCTCATCTTCTGTACCATGGAGACAGATTCAGTATTTCCAGTGGCTCTGTTTTGCCCACCGTTTCTGGGGCTGAGAGAAAGCAGACACCTCCCTAACAAACAGAGCAGTGGTTGTCCACGCTGTGGTGAGAAGAGAGCTGCAGCCACAATGTAGACCTGAGAACTCAGCGTACATATTACTTGGTTCAGAATCAAGAAGCAATACCCACATGGTAGAGAGAGCACTCTCCATCCTCTGGAGTTTCAACGAGCACATAATTAACACCTTTCCCCATATCAGAGGAGTTGTAGTGGCTAAGAATGTAGCTTCAGGAGCCAGAGGCCCTGGGTTCAAATCCTGGCTTGGTTATTTACTACCAGTGTGGCCTTGGGCAAATTGCTTAGTTTCTGTATTGCTCCAGTTTCCCCATCTATAAAACAGGAACCAAGTAATACCTATTTCAAAGGCTGGTTGTGAAGATGTCCCTGTTTGTCTGCCGGCAGGCTCCCTCCCTCCCTCCCTTTTCTCCTTCCAGCCACATGCCTGTGTCTCAAGTCATGTTTACTATCTGCAAACTCAGTAATGTGTGTGTGGGTGGGTGTGTCTAACACTTAATAACAGAACTCCAGGAACTCACAAAACGGGATCACAAATGCCACCTATCATGGCTTTAGCCTGCAGAATGCCTAAAACAAACACACGGTCCTTTTGTCAAGACACAACAGGTCATCAGAAAGTGCAGCTGGACACCAGAGACCTGAGGCCCTTGAAAAGCTGATGCGAGCCCCCAGTGACATATTCTGAGTCCTCTTTAGCCCTTCGCACTCTCACTTTGGAAAAAGAAATGGTGGCAGAAATGGGCTCATAAGAAATGGCTTCCTCCTCTCCCCGCTGAATCAGAGAAGGGAAATGGGTGCCTCAAACTTAAACCTGCCTTCAAGTTATACATTATTACAATGCAAAAAGTGTTTGGGTGGGTCTCTGCTGCTTCTTGTGCTTCTTTTTTTATTCATAATTTTATTGGGCGCTCTTACAGATGTCATAACATTCCATAATTCAAATAGGTCGAGCATAATTTTACAATTGCTACTCGGTCTCTGTTGAGTGGTCACATAGTAGATTTTAAAATAAAGGTTATTATCTTGATCACCTGCTTTTATTCTATTTTGCATAACATACTAAAATAGCATAAGAGTATGAAAGAAAGTCCTAAAAGCTTCTAACTACAACTGATGGGGTAGTAAGTGAGACTATCTCTGTGTCACAGCTGGAGACACCAGCCCGGCAAGGCTCAAAGGGACTTACGTGGGGCCCTTGGGGCAGTGCTTTGGCCCAGGCGAGACAAGGCTCTGTCTTAGGCTTCTTGTCTCAGTCTTATTTCTCTTTGGGAAAGAAGTAGAGAGAGAAAATAGTTAAATGGAGGTCTTCACAGTTTTAGCACAGGAAACTATTGTAAGGAGCAGAGCTAGGACCAAAAAAAAAGGTGACCAGTGATGGTTTCTGATTTTTGGAGATGATAGCATGGCTTGTTAGGCCTTCGGCTGCCAATGCAAGGTTGGCAATTCAAACTCACCAGGCACTCCACTGGGGAAAGTTGAGGCTCTCTCCTCTCATAAAGATGTATAACCTCAGAAACTGGTCCCTGTGAGTCAGAATCAACTTGATGGCAATGAGTTTGGAATTTTTCGGGAGTGGCAGACTTGTAATTTTTCCCCCCTAATGAAGGACTCATAGCAAGGAGCCTGGCCAGATAACCTCTGTGCACCCTCTGGTTGGCCTCGTACACTAGCAATGAACTTGGCTTTTAACACTACACAAATAAAAGACTAACTGACCGAGTCCGTGGAGAGATGATCAGCTCAGTTAACAAAAAGAACGGAAATCTAGTTTTCTGCATCACTTTGAACCAAATGTACTTCCTGGATGTTCTTGAAATCTGGGGGCCTGGGGAGCATTATTTTCTTCCTTCATTAGATTATCCAAAGAAGTGAACTGCAGGATTTGATGTGGAAACAGTGACAACATTTTATATGCTAAGTTGGCTCTGGCTTTGAAAATTGGAAACAATTAATAATCAGAGGCTTGAAAGCATTGCCTTTTAATTTGCCTCTGGGTTGTTTTTTTTTTTTTGGTTACATAAAATTTAATTTACTGCCTGTGTGCCTCATTCTAACTATTATTAGAAAATTGCCCTTAAGCTTCTAGAAGCATTATGTATTATAAGCTCCCCGCAAGAGTTGATAGTGAACCTTGGCCAAGAGAATAGGAACACTGGATGTGCTGAAATTGAAGTCATTCTAACACTGAACAGGGAATAATTTCCCAAAAGCAGATTAAATCTCTCAATGAAATGAGTTTCCTGCTTGTGCCTTCCCATCTTCTGTTCACTGAGTGTACAGTACAAGCCATTAGTGTGGGGCTCTAGCTCGATACTGGCTTCTCAGGATGGTTCTGCGCTTCCATAAAGTATCTTTGCCTTTGTTGCATGAAATTAAATTTATCACCCCTGGTTTTCCTAGAATAGCTCTTAGTATCCTTCGCTGCCAGCCTGCCTTGGGAAGCCCTTGACCTTACTTCCTACTGCTGTGGCGTCTCAGCACGTGGAGCCCCACGAAAGCTGAAGCCCTCTGCTCCCGCAGCCATGGTTTCTGGCTCAGGAACCCACGGGGCCTCTTCTACTCCGCCCTGTTGGCTCCCGGGTTGATTCTGACTCTCCGTGCCTGAGATGGTTGCCATGGGCAGCTGGAGCTCAGTTCACTGACGTGACACCAGTATCTCTCTCTCTCATTCCTCTTTCCTCAGTTTGCATTTTCTGCACGATGTCATCGGGTGTCACCTCGATTGCCTTCCATGTTGACCCTCTGGGGCATCAATCACCTTTGGTCGATTTGCAGTTGCTCAATTTCCCAGATGAATGTAGAGTTAGAGAGAAACTGAGACATTCCCCAGCCCCGTTCTACCCCCCACCCCCCATAGAGGAGTGTGTGTGTGTGTGTGTGTGTGTGTGTGTGTGTGTACACGTACATGTGCTAAGTAATCAAGAGATGACTTGGTGTTGACTTTTTGAGATGGGCCTGCAAACCCTCGAGCTGTACATGTGTGGCTGGTGCCTCCAAAAACCTGTGGTTCTTGCAGCAGTTTCTTACTTACAAGTAGTTTGCTTGGTGGGAAGGAGCCGTGGTGGTGCAGTGGGTTAAGTGTTGGAAGTGTTGGGCTGCTAACTGAAGAGTCAGTGGTTCCAGCCCAACCCGCTGTCCGGTCCCGTCAAGCTCTCTCGCCTCACCAACTCCAAGCAGCGATTCTACTCTGTCTCCCAGGGTTGCTGTGAGTGGCGGCGACTCGAGGGCAGTGGGTTTGGCTGGTTGGCCCGTGTGATGTGTTAGCAAGTTCTCTCCCTCTATCAGGTCATCACCGACCTGGAAGAGCAGCTGAATCAACTGACGGAAGACAACGCTGAACTCAACAACCAAAACTTCTACTTGTCCAAACAACTGGACGAAGCTTCTGGTGCCAGCGATGAGATAGTGCAGCTGCGGAGCGAAGTGGACCATCTCCGCCGGGAAATCACCGAGCGGGAGATGCAGCTCACTAGCCAGAAGCAAGTAAGGAGAGAGGGAGCTGTCTGGAACCAGGATGCCGAGCTAGGTCCAGCGCCCCCTGGAGGACTTTGAGCCTCTTCAGATTGTAGAAGGTGCCCGGTCCTGGCTGGGTCAAATAGTCACTGCACTCGGCTGCTAATTGTGATTCGAGTCTGCTCAGAGGCACCCCAGAAGACAAGCCTGGTGGCCTTACTTCCAAGAAGGCAACCATTGACAGCCCTGTAGAACACAGGCCCACAGTCCAGATGAGTTGGGGTTGGCTTGCCAGAAGCAACTGGTGGTTGTGGTGGCTGCTGTACCTCTCCAGAGGGTTCCAGGGAACACTGGCTCTTTGGACAGTCATGTTTTAAAGACTCTGGGGTCTCAAATTTGTGGGAATAATTTTAAGTTGGATGAATTGAAATTAGAACATTTCAGGGGACCAGTAGGTACCACTTTGCATGTCAATTTGGTTTCCCATCTCTACCCTTGGGTTCTGCCCAGATGTGGGCCTCCGTCCACTCTTCCCCAGTCCCCCTAGGGCTGTAGAAGACAGAGAGAAACTACTTGGACTGTCATAGATGCATGCTTTTCTAAAACTGATCCGACAAAGGTAACACTGGGAAATCCTCGTTTGGTACAAGGCACGACTCAGGGGTACTGATTTGCAGACGATGGAGGCTTTGAAGACCACATGCACGATGCTGGAAGAGCAGGTCATGGACCTGGAGGTCCTGAACGACGAGCTGCTGGAGAAGGAGCGGCAGTGGGAGGCCTGGCGGAGCGTCCTCGGGGATGAGAAGTCTCAGTTTGAGTGTCGCGTGCGAGAGTTACAGAGGATGCTGGACACTGAGAAGCAGAGCAGGTGGGACTCAGTCTCTAGGGACCCAGTATCAGGTAACTGTGACAGGTCTACTTGTGGACAGGGTGACCTCCCAGCTTGCATGTGACCAGGAGGTTTCCTGGATGTAAGACATTCAGGGAAGAAATTTGGGAAATCCTGGGCAAGCTGGTTGGATTGGGAATACGGGTGGGGCCTGTTGGATTCTAAAGCAGTGGTACCCTTTGGTGAGGCCTGGGAGTCTGAACAGAGTGAATATCTCAAGTATTCTCTTTTTCAGAAATATTGTCACCTGGTTTCTTAAACCTGTGACCATGTAGCAAGGTCATCCCCATGTAATTCTGATCAAGACTGAGGCTAGTCTTCCCTCTGCAGCAAAATTTGTTCACCCTGTGTACTCTTGACCTGTTTGCCTGGTGAATTATTTGCGGTGGTGGCTGTCCTGACACCGTGGACTGCTGAGCAGTATCCTGGGCACCCCCCATTAGATGCGAGTAGCACCTGTCCTCCCAGTGGTGATGACTGCAAATGTCTCCAGGTGTAGGCCAGTGGCTCTTAGGGAGAGCAGAGCCACCTCCGGTTGAGACGCAGTGCTCTGTATGAGGAGTGCAGGCAGTGAGAATTCCTCCAGGCAGCCTCCGCTCTGCTTGTCCTCTGTTATTCCCACAGCTCCTCTAGCCCGGGGTTCACTGCTCCCGGGCTGGGTACTGCACAGCCCCTGGAGTGCTGTCGAGTCAGTTCTTACTCTTCGTGTCCCCATGTGCCCCAGCATGAAACATTGCCCGACCCCCCACCCACCTCGCAGTCATTGCTACGCTTGAGTCCGTTGTTGCAGCCACGGTGTCCGTCCGTCTCATTAAAGGTCTCCCTCCTTTTCGCTGGCCCTCTGCTGGACTAAGCACAATGTCCTTCTCCAGGACTGGTCCCAGTCAACAAGACAGAATCTCGCCATCTTCACTTCTAAGGCACGTCTGACTGTACAACAGACTTGAAGATTTATTATCCAATGATGTGACAAATGGCTTTATAGCTCATGGCAGAAAAGTGTTTTGTTCTAAGAAAATCAGTAGCATTGGGGCAGGTTTCAGAAGATAGCAATCTGTCTTGAAGAAGGGGTGGGGTGCCTTCTCCCCATTTGCACAGAGGCACCACGTGGGCTTGCGTGATCCCCGTGACCCCCTGTCTGCACAGCTGAATTGTACTCACCCCTCATATTCTCACTCAGAGCACCTGCCCCTAAAACTTAACTCCCCGGATACTCTGACCTCCTTTCGCAGGACAAACGGCATGGAAAAATTCATGACCCAGTTGGATTCTGTCAGGCTCACTTGGTTATCTCCCACGTTTTCCTGGCCACAGCAGGCTCAGATAAATGTGCTGGATGAATAATCAATGTAAGCCCAGAAAAGAAAAGATTAGAGGCAGCCCAGGAGGATCCTTAAACCTCAAGGGAAACTGGTAGCAATCTAGTCCTCTGGGGCATCGGTGTTTGCCTTTGCTCTGGGCTGCTGAAGGAAACATTGCTCTCGCTGCCCCTCTCTGTTCATTGCTGGTCTCCGTCCTCACCATGCATTCTCTCTGCTCTCCTGCTGGCCCCTCCCTCGCCATCCACCAGTCCAGCTCCTCTCCCAGCTGTTTCTAGGATCTGTTGGAGGCAGTTTTGGGGGTAGAAATCTGTCTTCCCCATCAAGAAATAACGCGTGGGGGAAAAAAAGAGAAATACACATGGGAGGGGTAATTATTTATATGTCTCCTTGGAAAGGTGATTGTGGAAGACCTTGGCTTTCTTTTTCCTTTTATATCTGGGCCTCAAGCAGGCACTGAGTGAGTGAGAGGGAATCCATGGTCCTTGTCCTCAAGAGGCTTAATGTCTCCTAGAGGAGACAGCCTTGTGTTCGAGTATTTGTCACCGAGAAAGAGGAATATATTTAGGCTGGGAGGTGCAGCGCAAGGAGAGGCAGCTTCTGGGAGGAGGAGCTGGCCATGGCTTTCTGGAGGACTTTTATAGAATAGAGAAGGAGAGTATTCCCAGGGAGGAGGTTGTACAAAGAAAGGTACATCACAAAGTTTGTGGGAAATGCCATTATCTTCCATTCCATCTGTCTACAAACTCTTGGCAGTTCTTGTGTCTAAGCAAAGTTGTGGAAGTGGGTGAGCCTCATCCCCCAAAGGGGAGCGGGTGTGGCTTCTTTTCCAGGGTCCGTTTTGTCCATCTTTTCTCTCGACTTATTCGTGCCTCGGGGCAGCTGTGGTTCAGTGGTCGACGTCCCACTCTCTGTTGGAAGTCCTGGCTGCAGTTCCCCAGCAGTGTCCCTCATGTGCAGCCACCACCATCTCTCTGTGGAGGCTCACGTTCTGCTATGAGGCCGATTCAGCTTCAGCAGAGCTTCCAGGCTAAGATGGACTAGGACGAAAGGCCTGGGTGAATCAAGGTGACTGATGACAGCTGAATGTGTGCGGACACATTCTGAGTCATGCTTGCCTTTCCTCAGCACCTAGAACACTTCTTGCATGAAATATCTTTTCAACTGGGGTCTCTCATTGTGCTTTGTGCCCCAAGGACCCTCCGTAGGCCTGGGAACACCTTCAGTTTCTCCCCAGAAGAGGGTTGGGGGGGGCAGTCTCAGCACATCCTATTTAGCTCATTAGGTTTGGGATGCATTTTCCCTTCAGCCATTTCACATGAATATTGACAGGAACTCTCCCTTCCAGAGTCCTGTTACCCAAGGTCCAAAGTGGGTCATGCTGTGCCCTGTGAGCTGTCTGGGAATCAGAGCTGGGCATCGGTCCACAGCCTGCCTGCTCATCAGGGTCAGAGACCTGTGGGGGCGGGATGGGCTCTGAAGCAGGTCCCTGTCTTCCTGGCAGGGCGAGGGCCGACCAGCGGATCACCGAGTCTCGCCAGGTGGTGGAGCTGGCAGTGAAGGAACACAAGGCTGAGATCCTGGCGCTGCAGCAGGCACTAAAGGAGCAGAAACTGAAAGCAGAGAGCCTCTCCGACAAGGTCCGTGCCCAACGCTCTCCTTATAGGGGTGTGTTCTCGTCCCCTTGGTTCCGAAGGCGATGCTAGACGTCCAGGCATCATTCACAATGGACGTTCTTCATGCCCTCCACTGGCTCACTCCACCAAGGTCGCACCATTGGCATCCCCCTTGGCTCAGCTGCTCTGTGTTCAGGTCCTGAACTCTGCAGCCACTTCTCAGTCCTCGCACCAGAAGTCCATGACCACACCATGTTCTTTCTGTGTGCAAAGCAACACCCTAAAGCGTTTTGGAGATTATAACTAATAGTTTTGAAAGAGCATTTAGTCCAGGCCTTTCATGATGACAGGATGCATTGGCCAGCAGTTCAAAACCACCACAGTTCTGTAGGAGACAGACGGGGATTTCTATTCCTGTAAACAGCCAACAGTCTTGGAAACCCACAGGGGGTCACCATGAGTCAGCATTGACTTAAGGTTTTTGTTGTTGTTGTTCAGTATTACAGATAACAAAAGGGAAGACCAGAGATCTTTGTTTTCTACACACACACACACACACACACACACACACACACACACACACACACACACACACCAGCAATCTGAATTTTGTGTTTTCTACAACTCATTTTTTTATTATAAAAGTATCTATCTGGGGTCATCATAGAAGAGACAAACCACTGAGAGAAAGGAGGACAAATTGGTGATCCATCACTAGTGTGATGTTGGTGATTGTGTTAGCAGTCTTCTCTGCAGTATATTGTGTATATTCCCACACAATTATGAGAGTACAGTAAGTCAAAAAGTAATGCTACAAAGTCATAGATGCCCCGATTAAATGTAGAAGGTCAAAATGTGAGACTTGTTTCTCAGCATGTCCTCCGTCTAGGTCTATACATTTCTGAAGGCGATAATGTTTCCGTCTCGCAACCCTTCACCGAATAATCCTGCACTCTTCAATTTATACCACGTCAAAACGGCAGTTTGGACGTTCTCAAGGGACTCAAATTGTGTCCTTTGCATTTAGGGAACAAAAGCAAGTCTGAAGGGGTAAGACCTGGGTTGGGGCAGGTTGAGGGAAGGTTTTCCAATGCAGTTCTCATAGACTCTGAAGCTTCCCTGGAAGCACTAGCAGATGGATTGTCACGGTGCAAGAAAATCCCTCAGCACAACTTGCGTGGCCTTCTTACCAGTGCAGTTTTCAAGTTTCTGAAAACTCGTTCATGCTAAATCCTCATGGGGGTCTTGTGTCCTTGGAAAAATTTATCACGATGGACCCCGGTAGAATCCAAAACAGTCACCCTTACCTTCCGAGCCGACCTCTGTACCCTGGAGTGCCTGAACTGAGCAGACCTCCCCGGAGCCCCTGTTTCGATGCGACCTGTTATTTGGCAGGTGGCCCTGACAAGACTGAGACGAGTGCTCTTGAGAGAACAGTCCGCGGCCATCTGCGATCACACAGACATGTGCAGGCATGTTTCATTTGGAATAACCCCTTAGAGGACGGCACTGAAGCTGCAGCTAGGGGAGAGGGGCATGTCTGATCAGAGCACATGGGAGCAAATGAAGGGGGAGGAAGAGAGAGTGGAGCACATCCTGGCCCACTAGGCCTGGAGGATGATATTCCTGCTCTGAACAGCCAATGCACAGAGTGGACCATATGGCTGATTCCACTATGAGACACGCCGTCCCTCGCTGGCCCAGGGCCCTAAGGGGGACAAGAAACACTGGAGACTCAGTGTGGGGACTGGCCCGGACTGACCCCTTGACACCGAGGCAAACCACTAAAGGCGTGCGGCAGAGCAACCGTGAGAGCAGAGCAGGGAGCCCCCGAGGGAGTACAAAGGACAGACTTGGGCCAGAGCGTGGCACCCCATCGGACCTGACTGAAGGACACGCCTAGAGATCAAAAAACAGACCTTGATCTATTCACAGGTTTTTCTCTCTTTTAAAATTATTTTTCCTTTTAATTAATGTATTCTTCTATGGGTCATTTGTTTTCTTTTTTGTTGTCATGGTTGTGTTCTCATTCATCGCCTATCTTGCTAGGGGTTGATTTTTGGTGCGTATCACTTGGAATAATCCCGTGCATATATGAGCTGGAACCCTAGTAGCAATACTTCTGACTTTAGCGCATTTAAAAGAAAAATTGGGTTCCTTTTAGAAAACACATTTTTGTATTTACTTTTATAGACATCATATATCTAGAAGCTTTTTCTGACTTACTGGATATCCTATCCTTTGAACATGAGACTTAATAAAAAGCAACTGAATGTTATTTACTATGTTCAGCTGTATCTAATCATTGCCCTTCTCTTGGAAATGTAAGCTGCCTTCGAATTTTTGCCATTATAAATAAACTAATTGACTTATCTTCTTGAATATCCATAATTATTTTATATCCATTAACTGTAGGTAGCGTTATTGGATTCAAGGATACATTTCCCTGAGACTAGCTTAGCATGATTTTTGTTTTGTTTGTTTTTTTAACCCTAAGGAAAGACATCTTTTTTCTCATTTAGAAGTAACCTCTTTTTTTTTTTTTAACATTTTATTAGGGGCTCATACAACTGTTATCCCAATCCATACACACATCAATTGTGTAAAGCACATTTGTACATCGTTTCTCAAAACATTTTCTCTCCATTTAAACCCCCGACATTAGGTCCTCATTTTTCCCCTCCCTCCCCGCTCCCCCCTCCCGCATGAGCCCTTGATAGTTTATAAATGGGTATTTTGTCATTTCTTGCCCTGTCCGACATCTCCCTTCATCCACTTTTCGGTTGTCTGTCCCCCCAGGAGGAGGTCACAGACAGTTCCATGTAATCGGTTCCCTCTTTCCTACCCATTCTCCCTTTACCCTCCCTGTTTTGCCACTCACACCACTGGTCCTATAGGGCTCATCCGTCCTGGATTCCCTGTATTTTCAGTTCCTATCTGTACCAGTGTACCTCTTCTGGTCTAGCCAGACTTGCAAGATCGAATTTGAGTCATGGTATTGGGATCGGGAGGAAACATTTAGGAACTAGAGGAAAGTTGTATTTCTCATCATTGTTACATCGCACCCTGACTGGCTCATCTCCTCCCCGAGACCCCTCTGCAAGGGGATCTCCAGTGGCCTACTAATGGGCTTTGGATCTCCATTCTGCACTCCCCCCATCATTCACTATGGTAAGATTTTTTGTTCTGATGATGCCTTACACCTGATCCCTTCTACACCTCGTGGTTGCATAGGCTGGTGTGCTTCTGTGGGCTTTGTTGCTTCTGAGCTTGATGGCCGCTTGATTACCTTCAAGCCTTTAAGACCCCAGATGCTATACTTTTTGATAGCCGGGCACCATCAGCTTTCTTCGCCACATTTGCTTATGCACCCCTTTGTCTTCAGTGATCCGTTTGACACCCCTAGAAGTAACCTCTTTTATGTTGAACACAAGGAAGAGTCTTTTCTGTTTGACTGGTCCTGACGTCTTGTGTGGCCAGGTCCTACTCGTCCCTGAAGGCCATGGGCAGTGCGATGCCATCTGTTGGGTTTCTTCTGACTCTTATCACACATGATTGGTGTATGTGTCTGCGTGTGATTGGTGTATGTGTCTGCGTGTGAGCTCCCCTCTCTCTGCCTTTTGAGCCAGTGCCGGTTGCCTGGCACAGCTTGGCCATCCATTCATGCTCAAAGCCCCTATGCAGTGCTGTGCACACGGTCAGCACTGTGCATGTGGTGAATTCAATTCAGCTGAGATACGTACATGAGCAGGTGTCCTCTCCAACCTTGCCACAGCTACATGGGTGGCCATCCTTTAGGAATAACTGCTGTGCTCATGTCATCACAGGTGGAAGGTGTTTGGATGACATGAACTTTCATGGTACTGCACTTTTTTAAACACACGAGTGTTTGTTTTCTGACCTCTAGAACATGATTATTCTTTGCATGGGAAGTTTGTGGATATTTGCACATGTCGTTAGCAACTAACATATCTTAACGAGATGCCCTGACCACTTTCTCCAAACGTGCAGCTCAACGACCTGGAGAAGAAGCACGCGATGCTCGAGATGAACGCCCGCAGCTTGCAGCAGAAGCTGGAGACGGAGCGGGAGCTCAAGCAAAGGCTCCTGGAAGAGGTGAGTGGAAGGCGGCCCCTGGTTAATGGAAGCAAGTGGGGGTTTGACATTGGGGGTCAGGTCCAAATCAGATCTTTTCATAATTTGAAACTGGGATTTTTTTTTAAAAGAAGGGTAAAGTGGTTACTTCATGTTGTTTTAGGGTCTTTGTCACGTCAGATAGTGTGTCATGAAGGCATAGACTGTCGTTTCCATCTCTATCCTGTGTGGCACTTAGTGGCATAGAGCACAGAGAATGAACACGTGCCACAGGAAAGCGTATTGAATAGACGGTTAGTGGATATGGAGCCTAATTTTTCTTTAGCATTCATATCCACAGTGTATTAAGTTATTCTGTCTCATAGAACATCCATGCTAATTCACTTAATGCACAGGGCTGCATCTTGATCAAATTATGTTGTTGAGCACCAAATTTCATAATGACTTTTGATTGTTCAGCTAATTCAATTTTTAAAAAGTGGTCCTCTGCTTTCGAGATATGAAATGAAAAGCTCAAATCGGTCTCTGGAATCCCATCCTTTCTTATACCTGTTCTTGAAATCCTGGACATTGCTATTTAAATTGATGGGCTGCTCTCACACCCCCACACAAAGCCCTGTATGGTGAATCACTAATGTCTAGTTAACCTACAAGAATAAGTGATTTTATAAAGCCAGTCAATGAGGAGTAGAAGCGAACAGGGTTTTCTGTTTTAACCCAATAAATAGTCCAGGTAGCCAGAATTCTCTGTTTGTGGTTCATTGACAGTATTTTTGTTTATTTTTGCATGTCACCCAAAAAGCTTGAGACATAATGATGAAAGAAATGCTATTGCTGTGCTTTTACGTTTGAAAAGAGTTAGTATGAAATGTTTTATAACATGTTAGTTTTTAAAATGTGGCTGGGAAGTTCACCAAAGGCGACACTAAGAGCCCTATCACTGGTGCTTTAAAATCCACCTGGTGACCAAATAGAGAATTATGACCATGTATCAGGCTGAATAGACAGTGTCCCCTCTTTAGGCACTTATTGGGGATCTTGTATCTAGGGTGAGTAGCAGTGTCCCCTCTTTAGGTACCTATTGGGAACAGAAATAACTAGTGACCTCACCTGTCCCATTTGCCTTCTGGGAAGAGAGAGTCAGCCCTGACAGCTCTCTACTTTGGCCCAGGGTCACCTGGTGAGTCAGTGACAAACTGCTAGGAATAGAATGCCCCAATCCTATATAGTCTCCTCGTTCGCACTTCTCAACTCCAAGAGAACAGTTCCTCTTTTGCAGACTGTGCCAGACATCTGGCTGACGTGGAGTTTGTAGCAGATTCCAGCAGACAGTTGAAACCATTATGATACAAAGAAAGATCATGATTATCCCAAATGCCCTCCAGGATTCTTGGTTTGTGTTTGCACTTCCAAACATGGGACCAGAAGCTCTACCTTGATGCCTTTTTGAGCATAGAAACTTTTCTGTGAGATCAGAAGCCGCATCTTTAAGTTGGGAGGCGTTTTGGGGGTCCTCTCATCCAAATCCTGGCACTTGAGTCCCTGTTCCTTGTTTCTCTGCCCATGACAAATGGTTCTTTGTCCCAAACCATTTTCCTTGGGCCCAAAGTGGCCTCAGCAATCTCTAAACTTGGTGCTCTACAACCACTGTGTGCATTGGATGAAGTAGTCCTGCAGCTGAAGACCGATTTGCTGATCCTGACCAAGCCGAGCCTAGAGTCTCTTCCCATCCCTTCTCATGG